CGAGATAGTAAATTTTGGTCACCCATCCAATGACCGACCACTGTGAAAGTTGCTTAACTTCAACGATCGCACCCGAACGCGCTAACCACTTGCGCCGTCAAGCTCCTCCAATTCAATCCAATCCAAGTACATATTCCAACTTAAAGCCTATTTAGGCGTACTTAAAATGTTCTGCAAAGCTGTTTTCTCTAAGGTAAGTTCGGTACATTTCATCACCCGGCTGTTCGGCTTATCTACTTAACGCTGACGCTGGAGTGAAACAATATGAAGCTTTCTAGGTTTCTAGTTCAGACTATATGTTCGACATGTTAGCTTTCCCTCGTTATCTGTTTAAAGTAAGTTTAGTCGGACAAAGTTTCATGTGTAATAAAACGGGACGGTAATTTCACTTGACAGGAAAAGGATATGAAATTTAATTAACTAAACTTATTTGAAAAGGTTATCACAAACGCTATCAGTGAAAGAAAACACAAAACTGGCCAAGAGAGTGTCGGCCTTCGCACATATCTAAGAGAGTTAGTGTCGCCGCACACGGACCACACGCCACAGCCACAAACGCCGCCACGAGAAGCTAGAAGCGGCTATTAAAGTGGCTGAAGCGCGCGACAGCGGCCAACTAAGTTAAGGGAGAGAGGGGTGGGGAATCGCGCGAGTGACGTGTGGCGGCGTTTTGTATCGGCGCATTAAGTGTCCGGTGCGGGCCACAAGAAGCGAGCAACTACGATTTGTAGCGTGTAGCGGCCACCGGCGTATTGTGTGTGGCGCGTCCATATAAAATATATGAAAACTACAAGTAATATGCCGGTGGCGGCGTTTTGTGGTTGTGGTCGGTGGCCCGTGTGCGGCGACACTTAGGGCATATCGGATTTGCAGCTTGAATTGGAGTGGACGGCTGAGGCAGTAACCTCCACTTTAGAAGATCACAGTAAAATAACACTACCTTTTGTTGATGTTGTGTTTCTGTCGGCGAGTAAGGTTGCAGGGCTCCACGGAGTAAAGGATTGGGTCAGGGTAGGCAACGGTGTGAGTGGCTATGGTGACCGTTTATCATCAGGTGAGCCATACTCTTGTTGCCCACTCTTCTTCTCAAAAAGAAACATTGAGAGTTCCGTATCAAAACTAGTTTATCGATATATATTAGACCCGTAGTCATAATGAGTGCATGTAACTAAATAAACAAATAATTAACGAGCCTAAGTGTCACCGCACATATTTTTTGTGTCATATGTCACAAGGCATATTTCTTGTAGTTTTCATACATTTTATATGGACTCGCCATACACTGTACGCTGGTGGCCGCCACGCGCAACAAATCGTCGTTGCTCGCTTCTTGTAGCCCGCACCGGCCACTTAATGCGCCGATACAATACGCCGCCACACGTTACTTGCGCGATTCCCCACCCCTCTCTCCCTTTCCTTAGTCGGCCGCTGTCGCGCGTTTCAGCCACTTTAGTAGCCGCTTCTAACTTCTTGTGGCGGCGTTTGTGGCTGTGGCGTGTGGCCCGTGTGCGGCAACAGTTAACTGAATAAACTATATTTGAATTTAAATTGAACATTTGAATTACAATGATCGACCATTCATCATCTGCAGATTCACCAGAGCCGGCAGAGTATGTAAAACTCGCACAGTATAATTTTAACAATAATTCTAGACTATTGAAAATCTTTTTCATGCCAATAGAACAAGAGTTTTCATTAAAGACGCAGTTTTATAACCACGAAGCCATAAAATAATCCAAAACTTCAAGCCAAGTTATGTAAAAATGCGCTTATTAACTTGTGAAAGAATATTTGAATAAATAATCAGCATGGCCCGAAATAATAAAGAAGAACCGAAATAACCTTCTTATTTAGGTCACAAAAGTAGGAGAAGTATATACATACATAATTGAAGCTAACGCAAAGGAGGGATAAGAACGTTAACCCATTGCTGTCTCGACGTGGTTTTTGTAACCGAAAAATAACAATGTGAATTTATTCATCGCGTGACCTTTTCATTACAGGGTTAGAATCCCGCTTCATTGATCCCGCGGTCGTATTGATGACTAAATTGGTCTTTATTGCTCAGTAGAGCCAGTTTGTAGGAGGTTTTGTTTACTTAAATGCTCCGTTTTATTATGAGCTATGTTCGAGCTATGCGACGGCAACGCCCAAACTTACTAGTGCATGTGCCACTCAAAAGTTGCTAACGATATTTTAGCTCAAAGTTTCATTAGGGACACCACTTTAACCCTAGACTAAATTCTAGTCAGGCCGTGGGTTATATTTTTATATGTATAATGTTAATAGTAATTACTTATTGAGATGATTGAGGAGCTCGATAGCGCAAATGGTTAGTGCGTTCGGCTGCGATCGTTGCAGTTAAGCAACTTTCGCAATGGTCGGTCATTGGATGGGTGACCAAAAATTTACTATTTCGAGCTACTCCGTGCTTCGGAAGGCACGTTAAGCCGTTGGTCCCGGCTGCATCTGCAGTCGTTAGCACCCACCAATCCGCACTGGGCCCGCGTGGTGGGTAATGGCCCAATCTCCCTATTCCATCCATAGGGAAGGTCTGTGCCTCAGTAGTGGGGACATTAATAGGCTGATGATGATGATGATGACTTATTTAGATAAGGTATTACTACCTTTTTCATTGCTTTCTTTTAGCATTTTTTATGTTTAAGAAATTCTAGAAACATACCCCGTTTAACGGTGCAAGAGAATATGTGAAATCTTCTGCATTGAAGGCTAGGTGAAATAAGCGTGTCTTTTCTCACTAATAGCTGTACAATACTAAATACTTCCTCAGAAAGTATTAGGTACTGCCTGTAGGGTTTTGTCCTAATCTTATGCGACCTCTTTTTTTGAGGAATCTTTGGAAATCCAGGATTATAATACTACATCTTATGAAATTCAGAAGTAACACCTGTTACAAAAATTAATGTTACAAAGTTCTTTTGATGAAGGATGATTCTCAAGAGGGAAGGTACTTTTTACTAAAAAAGGCCAACTTTTTTACATAATTAAGCATAGGGATTAAGCATAGGCATATAAGCACCTGATGTAAAATAATAATGTTGAAATTCAAAGTCAAAATAAAGTTCTGTTAATGAAACAGAGAATAAAGCGATAGCTTTGATTAATTTACATGAATGAAAATTTGCTTAAATATACCTTTATCATCTGTATCCTTTGAATTCAGTGCACATTTCAATGGCGGATGGAGAGTAATACTTGTATTCTGATTCATGTTGACGTCATTCAGTCCAGAGTTGTATTCAACGGCACGTGATCTATATAATTAGGTCTTCCGTAGCAAAAGCGGCCGTTTCAGGATTTTAATTACGAAATCACAAATCGAAAATCTATTCATCTGATTTAATTATTCCAAGGCTATTTATTATTACAAAGAATTGTTAGTATCTAAATCAACTAGTTCAATAAATATGAATAGTTTACTTTTTTTGTCTATAATGGTATACTTTTGTATACTTACGTAGAAAAATTGTATACATTTTTTCTTTTTCAAAATTGAATTTACCTTTCCTTTATAAATTTCAAAACTTTACTTAAACCTTATTTAAACTCTTGTTATGTAAACGAAACATGCGTCCAATCTGTTCATGACGGTGTAAAGTTTTCTCGAGTCACATGTGATAATCTCGAAAAGTTTAAGCAATACCAGTATTCCATTAAATAATATTAAATCCTAAACAGCATCCGCACCACACACAAAAAAAACGATTGGTGGATTTATGCTACATCTGGGCACATTATTAAGATAATAATAAGAATTAAAAAACGAATCGAAAAAGCAGAAAATATATAAGAGTTATAAATTTGTAATAGTACCTACATTAAAAGATTAAAAATTGATTATAAATCAAACCTATCCTTCATTACTTACCCCAGTATCTTTGAACCAGTTTTCATTTAATAACTTACTGTGCATAAATATTCATTGGCACAAGTCTAAATTCCAATTTGGTTCAACTCTAGCGCATACACGCTCCTGCTCAAGGTCACTGACGCTGGAACTTTCACGTATAGAGAGTGTCACCGCTGTGATCTGGGTCAGACTATTTCGCACAATCTGCCAATGAAAAACGAGACTGGATATGGGAATTAAAGTAACGAGTATACTCCCTTATCTTTGGATGACGATGATTTCCCCGACACAGCGCTAATGAGTTCACGGGTGTGTATGTTCACATAGTACAGTCCAGGGTGATGATGGAGCCGCAAGGAAGACCGCGTGACGCGACGATGGGCGGCGACGCGATGATAAAATAGGCAGCGAACGAACACCTTTTGACTTGTGTAACCGCCTACGATTTTGCGACTCACGCATGCGAGCCTCCGTTCAATGGTAACGGTGGATGTTAAAAGTTAGTTTCACGATTGCCCGCTATTCACGTCTTATTTGTTAGGAAGTGCTTAGCAACCCTCATTCAAGGGTGCACCTAATTACTTTAAAATGACCCATAAAACGATCTCGATTTCAAAGGAAAATGATGCGTTTTTGAATGACTGTTATAAGTAAAATTACAAAATATACACGATTACGAAACAGCGTACGTGATTAAAGTGATAGCAATCAGCTTACTTAATTATACTAACGACTAGTATCAACGGGGTCTTTTGTAAGCGTGCATGCAAAAATTCTCTTTAAAAATTTCTCAGAAGCGCTGCCTACAAAGTCCTTTGCATTCTATTTTGTAAGAGTAATAAAACAAGGACGCTACATTAGGCTAACGTAGCCTGGCGTTGTATATCAAGTATGTATGTAAAACCATGAGTCGTCATATTTTTAGGACTATAACAATATGGAGAATAAACTTATTTTCTGTAAAAAGTCAGTATGATATTATAATCGAAAAGTGTAATTATACAATGATTTAGTAAATATTATATACCTATATATTAGTATAATTTCATGCCAATTCAAGCACATAATTCTGTCTCCCTCTGTTTTTAGCGTAGTACTATTTAGTTAAGATATATTTTCTTTGATTCAGTGTGAAGACCGAGCAAGTGCCGGGCGGGGCAGACAGTCTCCTGAGGCTCGCGCGAGTCAACAGCAGCGACGCTGGCAACTATACGTGTGCTGTCAAAGGAGCCAGATCACATACTGTCTCCGTGCATGTGCTCAATGGTAATTTGTGACTTTATTCTTCCCTGCTCGAGCGAGCCTCATGCAACATACAATTGCATGAGGCTCGCTCGGGTCAACAGCAGCGACGCTGGCAACTATACGTGTGCTGTCAAGGGGGCCAGATTACATACCGTCTCCGTGCATGTGATCAATGATAATTTGTGCCCCTTTTTTATTCTCTTCTCTATATATATTATACTTGTATCTATGAGGCTCGCACGACTTAACAGTTAACATTATTTATACATTAAACCGATGTAACTGTTCAAACGAGTTGTAAGAATGCCACTTCTCTAAAAAGTTCAAAACGGTGATAACTCTAGCAGAAATACTGACGCAGGCTGAGGTGTGAATAAGGTGACTGATTATAATTATTCACACCTCAGCCTGCTTCTAACCGTAAAATACCGCTTGTTCTTAATCGCCTAATAACCATAGGTTGAATAATGATAAGGTTAAAAATTGTTTGGAACAATTCGCCAGTTTTGTAATAGCTAATCTGACGTGCCGTCAAACAACCGCATTTTAATAAAACGTTTAACTCGAAATAGCAAAAGAAATCCAATAAAGAACAAAAGAATGCAATGTTAAAACAAAATAAGCAATCATTTGCTACATTTAATACAATTTCGTTTAGTGAAATCTGCAACGGCCAAGGCGAAACAATATCGTAGTGGGAAAAGAGAAAACAAGATTTCCATTTTACTTGAAATGTTTCTTGTTTGGCCACAACTATTTGGTGTTTAGTTTTTCTTATAACCGTCTTGAAAATAGAGAGGTTCTCAATTTGTCAGTATATTTTCTCAAGATTCCACAAAACCAATGGAACTTCATTATTATGGCTCCACCCTTCATCCGTTCGTCTGTATGTCAGCGGACTCTATCTATATCATACAATAACAACAGCAATTATAGCTAAACAGATGAAATTTGTCCTGTTTATTTTATTTTCATATTTGTATTTTCATTAGCTTTGTATAAATGTATAATACCTAAACAAAAGACGATATGACATGCAGAAAATGTGCTTAAAAAATATTTTATTTGTCTGATTTTACAAATGAATTCTATTCAAAATGGTAACCATTGTACGAAATTCTACTTAAACTTAACATAAAGTGGGCTAAAACAATTTTCTAGAATATCAAACGTTCTATCTGAGTAGTCTTCAGTGTTTTCTTTATTCAAACTTGTATTAACTTAATAATTTATAACTAGGATTCCGAATAACTCCTTTGACAGATTTATATTATCAAAATTTAAGATCTCCTTTTCTCTACTTTTGGAGCTTTAAAAAAGCTTACTGATTACGACTACAGAATAATAGGGTATCCTAAGCTACTGCAAAATACGTTCCACCGAATTACAATACATCAATGGCACCTCGTCGATTATTATTTGATAATAGAAAAACCTTAACACTATGACTCTGATAGTTAATTTTTATGTTCTTATTTGAGTTGGTTTTTAAATGATCGAAATATTGTGAGTCGATATTTTTACTTTATCCATAATTCATTCATCCAGTTATATTCAATCGATGGTGAAATTACGGAAATTATGTTAAAATGTAGCTTTTGACTCTATAATATATTTAGTTGTTAGAGGAATTGCTATCATGGTACCTTTTACTTTTAGGTACCTTTTTTTTAAGAGTTCCCGATATTTCACCACTGTTGCAAGTGCCATGATCACGGAGTAACTGAAGTAATTGCGGGTAGGGTTTTATTGGCAGACATATCGGTCTACCCTCTGACGAAGTCTTTTAATGCGCTCGATATCCATGTTTCACACTCTCACTTCACTGTTCACGTTCTCACATGGTACATGGTAACAATGCCTCTAATAACAAGAAATATTGTAGTGTTAATGACCATGAAAGTTTAAAACAATGTAGCTTTTAAAATTCAATAAACATGAAAAGATACCTAATCCAAGATGAAAGATATTTTCCACTTCTCTTTGCCTATAAAGGGATCTGATGTGACATCAAATAACTCAGAAATTTAAATTCTTTGTTCCTAAAATTTCATTCTCACCTTTATTTGCCTAAGGATTTACTTAATTTTACTATTCTTTTGTGTTATAAGATATAACCGAAACTTATCTTTGTTAGTTAAGTTAAATTTCATCTCTGTCCGTTCTTATTTCGATGGATAAAAGGAAAAGAAAATTCAAGTTACAAAATGACGTTATCACAAAGGGGATCGCTTGCCAAGTTTTTTTAACCCACAGTAGCACAAAATTTTTGGATAGGTGCCTAAAATAATAATTCATTTTCTGTAAAAGCGTCCTTGTTTCTTCGCCATACTTAAATTCGTACTTGCTGGTTTAATTTTAAAATATTAATTGGATATAAATTGTATTTTTTGTAAAAAAAAAACGTAGTTACGATTATTATAATTGGTGCTTCTAATTCTAATCACTCAAAGGCAGCAAAATATTTTGCTTAAAATCTTTTGAAAATAAGTTTTAAGTATAAAAACAAAGTGAGAATTCAAAGTTATTTTTGAATTTTATAACAATGTTTTTTTTGTATCGTTTCTTACTCAAGGACTTTTAAAAAACATCACAACTGCCCACATCTGAAACGATTTAAAACCTTTTATATTCGAGATTTCACCAGTTTTCCTACCTGGAAACTATAGTAATTATAAAGTTCCTTGAATAAGCTAGATACAAAAAAATAAGTTATCGTAATTATAATGTTCAGCATATTAACACATGCAAATTAACCTCGACTCATTACAATTAATTTGTTTCAGAGAGTTTGGCCGAGCTACACGCGGGGGTCAACGCAATGCAGTCCGCATCAGCGACTACCGTTATAACTTTATTATTCGTGTTGACAGTTTTAACAGAAAAACCGTTTTTTACAACTGTGATTACGTTCGCAGCACTATTGCACTCTATGACGGCCGAAGACGTATCAGACGATCGTTTTATTGTACTTTTACCGACGTGATAATAATAGTTTAGATAATGTACATAATAACTTTGCTTATAAAATAATAAATTATAAATAGTTATTCAGAAATAAAATTTCATTGTATAGTGTGTTGTTTCATTTGTGTCACGGTTATAGATCACACGGTTAAATTATTTACTCCTAGCTAGAGCGTGGCAGCGCAGATGAATTTTACGACTCCATCTTGCCATTATCAAAGTGATGTCAGTGTCTCATTACAAAATTTCCCAAAAAAGTAAGTATGGCGTAATCAAATTTTTTACCGATTGCAGCAGTTCGACGGAGAAAAGTTTTTTTTGTATCGATATAAATTTAATTGTCTCGAAAACTGAATCGAATATCAGTTTTTCTTGAGGCAAGACGATGCCGTTACAGTGTCGATTAGTGTCTGTAGTTTTAGATAATACAGTACAAAGAATACCTAACAGATTTGAGTTTATTATGAATTTTAGTACAATTGTATGTGTGTCAACACTCATATTTATATTATACCAGTTTATATGAACTTATTCAACGTAACGTCTTTTCCTTTGCCTTTTACAGTAAAATAGTTAGCCTCGAGTTTCTGTAAGTATTTAAATTATAAAGAAGTTGACTTTCTAAAGCTAAAGCCGGGTCCGGCTCCAGCAAAAGTTTTTCAAAACATTCAACAAAAACACATACACAAAACTTTGTTGCTAAAACATATTTTGATACACACGCAGTTTATGGCTCACGCGGCTGTCGTACACAAAATACACAGGGCTGCGTTCCAAACCTAAGATCCAGATGCTACAAATGTCAAATTTAAAAAAAGTTTTTTACATTTTATGTCAAAATTCAAACTTTTCACTCTTACGTTTGAATTTTGACAGAAAATGTAAGAAACTTTTGTTAAATTTGACATTTGTAGCACTTGGAGCGTAAGTTTGGAATGCAGCCTTCGCAAGCGAGTGGTTAAAAAATAGCCGATGAAATAATACCCTGACCCTCGCCTTCACGGAGGTGATTTTGTGCACATGTTTTCCATCGAGTTCGGAGCTCTGGCACGGCTCTTTCAAAGCAAAAACTTTGGTGATGCCAACAAATATGTGTAGTGAAAAAAAGGTTTTGTGAAGATAGTTCTGTTCAATGTTGATATGTTTTTGTTTTGCTTTGTGTATGGCAAAACACGCGCTGAAGACTCAGCTTAACTCGTGAAAACGTGCCATGACTTCACACTTTTCCATGCGTGCAGCTGGTGTTCATTGATTTATAAAACGTTAGCACACCAAAAACACACAAATAGCGTGTGAGCTCTAATTAAAAAAGCTTACAATTAGAGACACAGGGATGGATGTGCTCAAAGCTTCATAACAGACTAAATCTATATAATTTAAGTCATTTAAAACGCCCACGTAAAAGGTAAAGCATCATTTTTCTTGACATAGTCACTCCGGTCACTTATTTATAATTCCACCAATGTTTGACCGAAGGTTAGGGTAAGTTCACGTAACAACTTAATACAGAATAACCTTTAGATCCCTTTAATAATAGAGTAAGTAATTTTTACTTAACGTTTGTAAAGATACACACAATGAATAAATACGCAGTAGTTTAGAAAACTTGCTTTGAGGTAATGCAAAACGTATATTTTGCCTTTAAGGATTATTTGAAAATTCGGGTTTTATTTTACTTCTGCGACACAATCTTAAAACATATTATTTATATGTAATTTAGACAATCAGCTCATCATTAAAGTAGATTAGGTGGTAATTAAAAAATCTAAATTTGCTAATTAAAAACCAAATATGTATAGCAATTAGCAACAAATTTTTAAATCATTTTGAATCGTTAATAAATATCAAGTCTTTACTATATATTGCAAAAATTACGTGTATAAAAACACATAGAGGTCACCTGTTAATTATTGGTGATCTAATACATTATAAATATATTGCTTTTACGACTTATGTAAAATGGATGGATTTAATAAGCAATCGTATAATAACTTAAAAATAGCAGAAACACACAACAACATTTTCTCCATTTTTTTTGTTCTAAGATCCTCCTCTTCCGGTCACAATTCACGGCAAAAAATAATTTTGTCAAAGTTGTACATAATTTTGTGAGTAATTGAACAAAACAACGTTCCTTCATCCTCTCGGGACAGAAGTTGGCGTAACAGATGCGAAAACCAGGCCATTCAAGATAGTAGCAACATTAATCAACTGCTGCTACTGTTTCCACTCAAATGTTTGAGAAAGAAATTGTTATAATATACTAAATACTTTGTTTCGAACAAACGCACCAATGCATTGATCTTGACCCAGTTTCTCATAAAACTTCTTGTCAACAGTAAGCTGGCAGCGTAATCTTTCTAACTTCGGCCATACAGTGCACTGGGTAACACAAATTTGGAAAAACTTCTTATGGTTGGAAACACCGAAGGCAAAAGATCGCGCGGTTTTCCAATAAGATGGACTGGTCAAATTAAAGATTCATCCTTTTTTCGGCCAAATTAAAGTGAGAGAGAGAGTTTTTTAAAAAATAATCATTTTGTACTATTTAAATGTATGATTCATTGAAAGCTTCCAAAAAATTATTGACTGAAGATTGCTAACTGAAAATTAAAATTCTTGTGGCAGATTTGACGGAGTTAAAATTCAAATTTTGTAGGCTTGTGTTATGAGATGCTAGGCTAACAGATAGAAAACATATACTGATACATACACACAGCCAGGTCATAAGTATTGTCACACAGTAAAAACGTTTCTTTTAGAATGCTGGCCACAAAAAAGTTTATTGAATTCGAATTTCGAATTGTTCATGAAAATAAAACTGTATACTTTTTAGAATTTTACTCATTTTTAAATATGGAGTGGACGCTTAAAGAAGACCGTGTTGCATTTATTGCGTAGCATCGTTGCGGTTACGCGCCAATTCAAATTTTTGACATACTGAAAATTTTGAATATAACCAAAAGAATCGTTTATCGTACCATCAAACGATACAATGAAGACTCTAGTGTAGATGACAGGTCAAGAAGTGGTCGCCCTCGGTCTGTTAGGACTCCAGCAGTGATAAAAGCTGTGAAGGCGCGAATTCAAAGAAATCCCAAACGTAACCACTCGACTTTAGGCCTAGGTTTTGGAATGGACATGAATTGTTACCCGAAGAAGAAGAAAAGCATCAGCTATTGAATTTTTGGTTTACTTTTTTCTTTTGCTGCCAATAAAGCATGGATACAAATATTAATAAATAGTGTTTTTTTTTTGATTCAATTGCACCCCTAAATGAATATAAAACAGTTCCTCTTCTATGTTACAATTATACATTCATAAAGACCTAAAATCAATTTCAATTACATAATTATTCTGGACATCACCGAAATCCTGTAATTAAATAAAATGTCGTGACCTTCCTATGTCATTATTATGGGACCAAAGCACATGTTGTTCAATTATAAATAGTTTAATGACTAATCGTTATTTGATGCCAACGGCAGCAAATTTGACTGTTATGTTTTTATTATATTTTTAAGCATTTAACTGCTAGATGTTTAAATCTAAAGAAAAGTTTACTAGAAAAAAATCCACGCGCCAAAATATTTCCAATAGCCCAGGGTTTCAATATCAGCATCACTCATATTCCTAATTCTTCTTGATTTTATAGTTTATTTAGAATTTTATACATATTAAACCTCCCATGCCGAGTTGAAAAGAACCCACATAGATATAAGTATTTTCAAAACACAACACAGATGTAATGCTTTAAGAAATAATTTTATCAATATTTACCGAATCACGGGTTAGGATCCTACAGCAGTCTCCAAACAGGTCCTGCGCATTGATGGGCTTTTACTGTCTGTACGACAAATTTTAAAACAATAAATAAATATTTCCAACAATCACACCAATTAGCGTAGCCCCAAAGTAAGCACTATAAGGCTTGTGTTTTGGGTACTAGGGTAACGGAAAGAATACATATACTAGTACATATAATAAGTATATTTTTATAGAAATACATATTTAACATCCATGACTGGAGTACATATGCTCGTATTCATCACATCTGCCCCCACCGGGATTTGAACCCGGGACCTCTGGAGTCGGCGACACCATGAAACCCGGCGTACAAACCACTAGGCCACGGAGGTCGTCAAAGTTGAATGAAGAGTGAATATTTCTAACTTGGTATAAACTTATCTCATTTCAGCATCACAAAGCTAAACCAACAAGAATCCCTAAGATTAATCTAGTATTGAATTAGTAGGCATGTTCATAAGAGATAATTACGAAGGCGACACAGTTATTACGACTCCAAGCGTTAAACATTAACATAATCTGCAAACAAAGTTAGTTGAATCAGTTCTTACGAAGTCGTTAGTTTCGCTAACTCGCGCAGATTACGTTGAATTGAATATACCGCTTTGAAACTAAGCAAATAGCTAAGAAGCCTGCGAGGCAGTTGGCTTCGCTTATGAATGTGTGGTGTGGTGCAAGTGTAGAACGGACACCGTTTTACAAAAATCATAATTTATTTACTTCCTAGCGGTTGCCCGCGAATTCATCATGTATTCGTTCATTTGTTGACCTCCTTGGCCGAGTGGTTTGTACACCTGGTTTTAAGGTGTTGCCTGCTCGAGAGGTCCCGGGTTTGAGTCCCGGTGGGGGCAGATGTTTGTGTGATGAATGCGAGCATCCGTACTCTAGTAATGGATGTTTAATTATACTTCTATATAAAAATACTTATTATATATAGAATGGATCAGTATCATGTATTGTATCCATCACACTAGTATCCCATAATACAAGACAACAGCCTAGCTCCAAGCTAGTCTTATTCGCGTGGGTGTTATAAATATTTATTTAATTATCTGCTTTTACTTCAGTTTTTTGAGAATCACAGCAACCTTACATTTTTCTGGAATAAAAGATGTCCTTTTCCATTTTAGGTCTTAAACTACATAATATACCAAATTTTATCAAAATTCGTTCAACCGTTTTTGCATGATTATCATAATCATAATCAAAATCAAAATCATTTATTCAGTTTAGGCTGTTACAAGCACATATGAATGTCTAGAAGCTACGCCATCGGTTCGTAAATCTACGGCGG